ATTCTATCGCCTCTAGCTCTTATATTAATCTTTACTTTATCTCTAATTATTAATATAAGAACTCTTAGCTTTATCTTAATCTTATTAAGTCTATATTATATATTATAATAATTATTATCGCTTAATCTTATTCTCTTACTATTCAATTTCTTCGCGAAGTTTTAAGTTCGTTTCGACTTCGCCTCGCTTCTTATTTTCGATTTCGATAAATTCCTCTTATTTATATCTTTTATTAAACTAAGTTTATTTTAATAGAAGTTTATTTTAACTTCTAGATCTAGTTATTATTTATTTATCTTATTATCTAGTCTCTAGTCGAGTCTTTCTTATTTTATCTATTATATTTTAATTACTTTATAAAAGCTTAATCTTTAAAGAAAAAGCTATTATTATAGAGTAAAGTTAGTTTATAGACTAAGTAATACTTAAATCTTTCGCTAAGTCTTTCGCTTTAAGTTTATATTTAATTTATAATCTAATTAAGTTTCTACTATCGATAATCTATATAATAGACTATATTAATTTTCATCTAATTATATATAAAAGCGTCGTACGTCTATTTTCTACTTTTCTTTCTTATCTTTTATCTTATATATAGATCTAACTCTACTAGCTATTATATATATATATAATTCTTTAATAATAGTTCTAATTCTCGTCTTATTTCTTAATATAATTTAAAGTTATAAATAATCTTAATTAATAAAAAAGAAGAATAAAAGATTAATAAGATATTAAATAAAAGAGTTTATAAAGACGAGACTAAGTATCTTATTAATTAAAAAAACTTTTTATTTTATAAAGCTTTATAAGAATTAATAAAGTATCTCAAAAATACTAAAGGCGTAATTAAGAATTTTAAATAAGTAAAAAAATTATATAAATTAATATCTAAGATAAAGCTAAAAACATAATTATTAAAAGTCTAAAAGAAATAAAAGAAATTAAGAAAATAATAATAGTAGAGAATTAAAATAAATAAATAAAATTATAATTAAAAGATTTAATAAATATAATTAAAAAGCTTATAAATCTATTCTAAAGCTTTTAAAGCGCTATATATTATAAGAAAAATAGCTATTAAGATTATATATATAATTATTACTATCTAATATTAATTTATCTATTCTCTTATATTAAGAAGTAATTTCTTATTTAAAAAATTTATTAAATAAGAAGAAAATTTAATATAAGAGATAATAAGAGAAGTAGTTAAAGAGAAAGCGAAGACGATAATATAACTAATATTATATTAAAGTTTCTCGATATAATAAGTTAATATTTATATTAGCTATATACTCTAATATATATTAATTAAAATATTTTATATTATTTTATATTTATAGAATAAAATAAATATCTTTATTAAAGCGAGTTATAGCGAAGAATAAAGATAATAGTTTAATAATAAAAAGGCGATAAATTAATTATATAGAGATAATTCTTAATAAAATATTATTTATATTTATATTAGCGCGAGTTAGCGAGCGAAGTAATATATATTATATAAAGATCTTATATAAGCGTATATATATAACGCGAATAAAAAAAACTTTAATATATATTAACGTAATCTCTTAGTTATCTAATATCTTTTTTACTTAATACTTATAAATAAAAATAGAAATAGCGATAACAGAAGCTATTAAGTCTTTCTAGTTAAATATATATTTAAAATAGATATAAATATCTATTAATAATCGAAATTATAATAATTATATATACTTAATAATCTATAAAACTATAAAAGCGAGAATTAATTATTACTATTAATATATTAATATACTTTTTATACTACTTAGAAAGTATTATAAAATATTCTTTAAGAGACTTATTATATATAAAATTAATTTAAATAACTTTAATCTTATTTAACTATTATCTTAATTAATATATATATTATATTATTATAATAATATATAACTCGCTATCGCGATATTATAATAAAAATAAATAAAAATAAGATAGTAGATATAAAGAAGAATTAAATATTTACTTATATTAATTTTAATATTATTATTAAAAAAAATAAAAGTTAAATTAAAAGTAAGACTATTATATTTATTAGCGCGATTTTTATAATTATAATAATAGAATTATTATAATTATTAAAGTAATAATAATATAATAGTATATAATAATAGCGATAATAGTATATCGTAATAAAGTAATAATATATTTATATTCTATTAATTAAGATAATAATATATATAATAATACTATCGCGATTTAATATATAAATATATTAATATATCTAAAAAGATCTTAAGATAAGAAGCTTAAATACGCTGTTATAGTATATATTAGTTTAAATTATATTTAATTAATAATAGATAATATATAAGAAGCTAGTAAGTTTATAAGTATTTAATTATAAGATATAATAATAATAAAATTTAGAAGTTAAATCTTTTAAAGAGAAATATGATTATAAGAATAAAAGTATTTAAAATAAATTAATAAACTTACTTATATTATTTATTAGACTATAAACTATATAGCTAAAACGAATATTTATTATATTTAATAAAGTCTTAAATACTTATAAATTCTCTCTCTTTTTTTTTTTTAGTTATTAGTTTATTTAATAATTAATCTATTTATTCTATTAATTATATATCTAGATCTTATAATTATATAACTACTACGTAGTTTTATTAAAAGAGATCTTATTATCTTATAAAACGTCTATAACTATTAAAAAAATAGATATATCTTATTAATATATAAAATAACTTTTTTATTTTCTATTAAATTTTTAAGATTTTTTTTTAAATTATAGAACGAAGATTACGCTTTTTAGTAATATAAAAATTTTAAAATTTAATCTTATAGTTATTAAAAGATAAGAACCTTAAATATCGTTTATTAAAGTTCGTTTATTAAAGTTCGCTCGATAGCTCTAATTAAAAAATAGATATATATTATTTAATTTTAAAATAACTTTTTTATTTAAAATATAGAATATAATATAAGCTTTTAGATAAAAAAGAAGTTATTAAATTTAGCTCTATAGATATTTAAAATAAGAAATTCAAATATTATCTATTAAAAGTTCGCTTATTAAATTTACTCGATAGCTCTAATTAAAAAGAAAGATTATAAATTTAATTTATAGATATTTACTCGTCTATATTAAATTAATAAAAATTATCGTCTTTTAACGATTACTTAGTAATATAACCGTAATATTAGAAATTTTTAAATACGTTATATATTTTTAATAGTACTTTTTATAAAACGATAGTAGATTATTTTCTCTAAAAAAGCGTATTAATTTTTAATACGATAAATTTAGAAATCTAATATATTACGATAGTAATTATAAATTAATAAAATTACGATATTTATATAAATATCTTAATAATAATAAATCTATATAAATTACTTTATATAATTAAATAGATTATTCTCTAGCTTAAGTAAATTTAATTAGATAATAAAAATTTATATAGTAAGATAGTTTCGTAGTTCGAAATTTCGAATTAGCGAGTATATCTATTATTTAAAATTAATTAATTTTATAAACTAAACTCTTCTTAATATATCTTAATTATTATTCTAGACTTCTTAATTTTTTTATTCTTTTTAAAATAGTTCTAGATTTTATAACAGTTTCTCGATTTCAGAACGATATCGTAACGGTTTCTCGATTTTAGAATCGTATCGTAACGGTATTATAACGATTTTAATATATAAAATATATTAAAAATACTATAGTTATTTTAACTCGATATAATATTTTATTAATATATATTAAGATATATAATCGTTAATTATTTAATTCGTTTTTTATTCTTTATCGCTTAATAACGAAGATAGTTTACTAATATATCTTAATAAAATAATCGTATATTTATCGTATACATACCGTAAAAGAAAATCGTTCTTACTCGCTAAGATATTTAATTAGATTAACGATCGTCGAATAGAATTAATCTCGCTTTAAATTATTCTTTTAAAATTCGTTACTAAATCTATCTAGTAATAAAAGATTAGTATTATTATACTAGTTTACCATATAAATTTCATGAAAGGTAGGCATTTTGATGTTGCGTCGGAATTATCGGATTTAAGATGGCGCAAATAAGGGTATAGCGCGAATGGAGGTAGATACGATTAACATGTTGATGGTATCTTATATTTTCATACCCTAAGAAATGGTAACTTACAAATTCATACCCCATTTTTTTTGGTGAGGGGTATGAATTTGTAATTTGCCCAGCCAATTGCGCATCTCAACAGCCACAAGCGAGTCCATGCCACATTCTGACATTGAATTTCAATGGGCTGATATCTTCCACCGAGATCATCAAGAAATTCGACGTCCCGGGAATGAGTTCAGCTACATGAGATGTGCATGACACGTCAGAAGCTCCTCCAATGCCTACCTTATTTACAGTAAACCCGCAAAAACCGGGCGCTCTGCCAAGATATGAATCGGAAATCAGTCCGTGCGTTTTCTCTGGCCCTATGAAAATCCACGATTAGAGCTGACCGACACCGTGCGAAACGCCCCCCCCCCACCGGCGACTCCACTCATTTCGTATCCTTCAACAGGATGCAGCTCGGTCCATTAACAATTCACAATCGGTGCCGAGGTTCGGGTCGAGGTTCGGGTGCAACTGCGTCCGTACTTATTATTTGACAGCAATAAGCTACATCTATCAGGTACCGTACCCTGTTCTTTGATTCTTTGACCACAAATTGAAGGCTATAGAGGTATATAGTATGTTGAAGCGCGTTCTATTTAGGTAAGTTCGCAGCGAACGCCAAGAAGCTAAGAAATTGAGCTGAAAACCGATAAAGGGGCATGCATAATGCATATTCAACGCTGGGGCGCTTAGACCAGCACAGCCTGACACCTATGAGCCTTTGCTAACTTATTCAAATAGCGTCTTTGTCCCAATGCTATTATTATATGTGCATTAATTTCGTTACACCAAATACCTTGCACTATCTCTGTATCTATATATATTTGATTTATTACTTGTCTTGTCATGGTGATCTACCGACAGACTGCTCACCTCTGTATTTTGTGGCTTATTTACCTCTCTTCGCAAAGCCAGAGCTCTCCTCTGCCGAAGGTCGAAGTGAACCAAGTACCAGAGACTATGCGGTTGAATACTGAAAACACCGCTACGAGTCCGTTGCGAGAACAATTCAAGAATCCTGCTGAAATCCTTGGCATTCTACTTCTTATTGGTGGCGACACTATTCGAAAGGCAATCGCACAGCTTGCAGGACCAAATGTAGCACCCGTCGCCTTCAGTTTTGGGTGGGTTGCTTATTCTTTCGGAGCTTTGTTGTCCGTATGGGGCGACGGCCGTCTGCTCCCCGAACCAGATGTTCACTCCATGGTCATCAATCACAAGAGCGGTAACACAAAGCAAAACGAGTCTTGGGTCCTTGGCAGATTGATACGGGATCTAGAAATGCATTTCAGTACCCAGAAGAGCAAGACCAAAGAATTTGGTGGCAAAAGTTTCCATATTATCAAATTGGAGGCCATGGATGTTTGGAAGAAAAAACATCACTGGAGTGGAAAGGATCGTCCAGACCCGCCAGCCCACGACTTGATTTGGTGGTCCTTCTTTGGCTGTGTCGTGCTGCAACTTGGACTCGCAGTTGCGCCCATTTTCATAGACCACTCCGGCAACTGGAGAATTCTCCTTGTTACAGGAGCGGGAACTATGCTGGCCATCATTCACGGGTCTCTGCCCCAGTGTAAGGAGGAAAAATATGAATGTGAAATGACGGAAAAGGGAAAGGATGCAACATTTATTCTCACCAGAGGCAATAGCCATCAGTATGTGTTTGTGATTCACAGTCCTCCTGAGAATCGCACCTTGAACATGGAACATCTTGCCGTCAGTCGCAGGATTGGGGGTAAGAATGTTATGAAGTACATCACGGCCGTTCTGGCCGCATGCTGGATCGTGCTCTTGATAGCCATTGGAGGCCTAGAGCAGGACACGTGGTTCCTTCTCATGGTTGGCGGCATCGGAATGTTCCATAATTTGTGGGTTGCAGGGCACGCAAGGACCACTTCCGCTCATGGCATCCCTCTTGACATTGAGAACGCAAAACCTTTAACCGATCCAGACAAGAGCGTTATGGAAGGACTAATGGCAGCAGAGAAGATTGAGCCAGGAGTTGGTCTAGCACTGCTAAAGGTCTATTTTCCTGGCCGGTTAAGGCCAGATGAAGATAAGTGGTGGGCAAAGAAGACAAAACGTTTCGTAAAGCGCATAGAAAACGAGAGGAAAAAGAAGGGGAAGAAGCCAAAGTCAGAGGAAGAGGAGGAGTCAGAGGGATCGGAGGAGGAGTCGGAGGTACAGGAAAAGAATACAGGGGGAGAGGTTGCGGGATGTCCGAAATGCAAGTGTCAATGCGAGTGCCAGGGCCACGCATCATCCAAAGCCAAAAGTACGAGAGCATGTTCGGCCCCCTGACCTACCATTGATCGAGGGAAGGTCTATGCTCAGAGTCCGGAGAAATCCGATGAGACCTGCACGCACGAGTTCTCTTGTCCAAGATTCCTTGATCTTATCCGGTGGGCGATGCTTACGCAAAGACGGGGCGCTTCACCAAATCTAAGTCCAGCTGACTTGTTTGCGACTTGAGACAAAAACGCCGAGGAAATGCAGGGAAACAAGACTTTTCAGTACGAGTATGTACCTGCAGGGTGCAGACATCTGGCTTTAGTTTGGACGATGTTTCGAAGGCATATTCGCCTAGAAGGTCAGCCTTGGGCCACGGTCAAAGTTCCGATCGGAACAGGTTGTGCCAACCGAGGAACGATCCATATTAAAGAGAGATTAAAATAGAAATCTTCTTAACGATATAGCGATATAGCGATATAGTTAATATAGTTAATATTTATAGAATAGATTATATCGTTTAAAGAGATAATATACTTTCTAATATATACTTCTCTAGAGTATATAAGAGACTTTATTCTTTATATTAAAATATAATTTTTTAATCGTAATTAACTTTATATAGATAAGTTTAATTTTTTTAATAATTATTAAAATTAGATATATTTTTAAATTAAATAATATAAATTATTAATAAGTAAAATAATAACTAGAAAATCTAATTTATTATTTATTTTAGAAAAAATAATATTAAGATTTTTTTATAATATTAGAAAATTAAAAGTTTATATACGAATCTTTTTTAAAATAATTTAGTCGCTAAATTATAAATATTAATATTCTATTTATAATTATTTATAATTTTAAAATATTATAGTTTTAATATTATCTCGATTTTAATATATAAATAAAATTAAAATTTATTATAAAGAATTAATAAATAAAGAAAGTTATAAAGTTAGAGTTAAGATTATTAAAAAATTTATTAATTAATAATATTAAACTCTCTCTAATTTTAAATTATTACTTATTTTATAGTTATTAATTATTTTATAGTTATTACTTATTTTATAGTTATTAATTATTTTATAATTATAAATTATTTTCTAGTTATAAATTATTTTATAATTATTACTTATTTTATAATTATTACTTATTTTAAATTTATTACTTATTTTATAATTATTACTTATTTTATAATTATTACTTATTTTAAATTTATTACTTATTTTATAATTATTACTTATTTTAAATTTATTACTTATTTTATAATTATTACTTATTTTATAATTATTACTTATTTTATAATTATTAATTATTTATAATAATTTTAATCTTTTTATTAATATTAATTAATAATAATATAAATTAATAATAATATAAATTTTAAGTATATTAAAAATAAATATATTAATTAGAAATTTAGAAATTTAATTAACTTAATTTTTATAGAATATAAAATTAATATTTATATATTTATTTTTATAATTAATAATAATAATAATAATAATATACGCTTTAAAGATTTAATTATTTATCTTTTTAATTTTTTAATAAATAATATATTTAATATTAAATAATATAAGTTTTAAAATTATTTATAATATATTTTATATATAATATATATTAACTAATTAAACTTAAAAGATCTTTTAAATAATATTAAAAAAAAAAATGTTTTAAAGAAAATAAAATAATAATTAATATTAAATAAATATAAATAATTTATTAATAATTTTAATAAAAATATTTTAATATTAAATAAATATTAATCTTTTAAATTTTTTTTTTTAAAATACTCTTTTAAACTTTTTTAGAATATTAAGATTTATTAAGATTTAATTTATTAGATATTAATTCGCGTTTTACTTCTTTATATTAAATCTTCTTTTAAAATAAATTAACTATCTATTTAAGATTAAATAATAAAAAATTATTAAAAATAGAAATTATAATTTAAATATCTAAATAATTTTTAGTTAACTTTTAAAAATTTTAATATTAAATTTAATTTATTAGATTTTTTTATAAAATTATAAAATTAATAAATATTAGTTAAAAAGATATAGTATAATATAAGATATTAATCTATTATATTATACTCTAACGAGTAAAGGCCTATAAATTAAATTTATAATTTTTTTAATTAAAGCTATCGAGTAAATTTGATAAGCGATCTTTAGTAAGCGATATTTAAGTATCTTATCTTTTATTAATTATAAGACTAAATTTAAAAATTCTTTTTTTATCTAAAAGCCTATATTTCATTTTATAATTAAAAAAAAAATCTTAAAATTTTAATAGAATATAAAAAAGTTATTTTAAAATTAAATAATATATATCTAATTAAAGCTATTTAGCTATCGAGCGAACTTTAATAAGCGATATTTAAACTCCTTACGCTTTAATAATTATAAGATTAAATTTAGAAATTCTTTTTTTATCTAAAAGCTTATATTTCGTTTTATAATTTAAAAAAAAATCTTAGTATTTTAATAGAAAATAAAAAAGTTATTCTATATATTAATAACGTATATCTATTTTTTTAATAAGAGAGATACGAGAGGGCGAGATTTTGATAATTACGAATATTAATTTATTTAATCGCGATAATATAGTCGATCTAATTAAAAAGCGTAGCGAACTCGAATTTATAATTAACTATATATATAAATTTAAGATTTTTAAGCTAAACTCTATCTTATTTCATTATATATATTAATTATTATAATAATATCTAAAGTATAATATAATTATTAAACTATATATTTATTTTTATCTATTAATAACTTTAAGCTAATATATAGATAAATCGCGAAAAGAGCTTAGCTTATATATACTTAATCTATTATTAATAGATTTTTAAAAAAGTTAATATTAATCTAAATTAAATATAGTAATAACTTATTTAAAAATATTATAGTAGAGCGTTTATTAGATATTAGTATATATAAAAGAATAAGATAGAGCTAAGCTTGAAAACCTTGAATTTATATATATAGTTAATTATAGATTTAGAGTTATTACGCTCTTTAATTAAACCGACTAAGTTAGCCCGCTAGCTCTCTCGAGCTTTCTTATTAAAAATTTATATATAGAAGTTTTATAATCTGAAATAATTAGCTCTCTACGAATACTATTACTTTATAATTTCGTAAATTATAGAGCTTAGTTTACGCTTTCTAACGATATAAAAATTATAAAGTTTAGTCTACTATTAATAGATTAAATAAATATTTAAATATAATAGTTATAATTATACTAGACACGTCCGAGATCGAATAATAATCCTTTCATCTATTTATATAACTATTCTTCTTTTACTATTCTATTAATTTATTAATATAAATATATTCGTTCTCGATATATTATTAAATACTTTAGATACGTATACCTCTTCTATTTATCTCTTAGAGCTTCTATTAACGCCCTTAAACTATCTCTCGATAAATTCGCTACTACTAATAATCGAGATCGTAAGCGAGCTTAATAGCTATTTACTACTATTTATAAACGTATTAAAAGACTCTTAAAAAGAGCCTAAACGAATATATTCTCTCTTATATACTTCTTCTAAGCTAGCGATAAGTAAGTTAAACTAATATTTAAATATTATAATTATACTAAACGCGTTTAATTTAGATATATATATCTCTTTTACTTATCTCTTAGAGCTCTTACTAATATCTTTAAGCTATCTTTTAGTAAATTCGTTATTACTAATAATCGAGGCTATAAGCGAGTCTAATAGTTATTTATTACTACTTATAAACGCGTTAGAAGGCTCTTAAAAAGAGCTTAAAGGAATATGTTCTTCTCTATATACTTCTCTTAAGTCAGCGATAGGTGGATTAAACTAATATTCAAATATTGTAGTTATATTAAACGCGTCCGAGATCGAATAATAATCCTTTCATCTATTTGTGTAACTATTCTTCTTCCACCATTCTACTAATTCTACCAATTCCATCAATATAAACATATTTATCCTCGGTACCCTCGCACTCAGTTGAATAAGAGGAGGATCTACAATAGGCGAATGCGGAGAACACTACGGAGATAGTTATCAGTAGTAGTGACACAACAGGCCTACTCTCCACGGTCTCACATCAATTCACTCAGCCAATGCAAGAGAAGTCAATACAGCAGGCGAATACGGAGAACACTACGAAGAAATCAAGCGGCAACAAGGCCTCCAGCACCAAGAACACGGCTCAGCTCTCCAAGATCTCACGTCATATACTCTCCACGGTTTCACATCAAATTATTACTTAGCAAGCGGAGAACACCACTACAACTTAGCCCGTTATCCCCACTGCATTAAGAAGTAAGAGAAGGAACTACAACAGGCAAATGCGGAGAATAAGCAGGCGAATACGGAGAATACTACGGAGAAACCAAGCGGCAACAAGGCCCCCAGCACCAAGAACACGGCTCAGCTCTCCAAGATCCCACGTCATATGCTCTCCACGGTTCCACATCAAATCATCACTCAGCAAGCGTCGTCAGCCAGCTACTCAGCTAGCCACTCAGTCTGATACTCTACAAGAGGAGAAGCAAGAGGAGGAACTACAACAGAAAAATGCGGAGAACACTACGGAGAACACTGCGGAGAAATCAAGCGGCAACAAGGCCACCATCGTCAAGAACACGGCTCAGCTCTCCAAGATCCCACGTCAAATCATCACTTAGCAAGCGGAGAACACCACTGCAGCTTGGCCTGTCATCCCCACTACATTGATATAGTACATCACTACAATAACGTCACAAGAGGAGGATCTACTGCGACAATCACAGTTAATTAGGCCTCTGCAGGAGGGATATCGGACGATGTATATTTGGACGAATTAAAATTATCCGATGTCTATAGCTATCTCATTATTCGAAAGATTTTACTACGGTAGAAGATATTGTGGGATTCATACTACTAATTAGCACGTTGTCTTCATTTCTTTTCGATATTTTAATACTTCTTACCATAAGAATATAGTCTTTCTCTATTTTTTATAGATAATTATTACGGATTAATTCTCTATACTCGATATATCTTTCTAATTAGATCTTAGCGCGCCTCTCTCCGTATATATATATCTATATATTATATAGATTATATTAATTTTATAATAGTAAAAGTAGATTAAAAACGCATAGCAAGCGATTAGAGTTCGATTTGACTTAGGGCTAGAGCTAAAATTCGATTTAACTTAGAAAAATTTAACTTTATAAATTTAATTCACGGGCCTTTACTTATTATTACTAATTTAATAAATATTATTACTACTTTAATAAATATTATTATTACTTTAATAAATATTATCTCTACTT